TTCTGTGCAGTGAACAGACCTCCCTAACAGACCTTCTCTGACCTCCCTAACAAGTCATACTTACTATATGACTATATTACATGTACTTTATGATGAGAAAGTAACTGTTACACTGCACCATACATAAATTACATCATCTTTTGTGGGAGCTTATTTCTCATAATTTTAATAGTCTACAGTCTGTACAAGGCTTATCCTGTGAAAACTTGGTTCAGAAGAGAAATCTGGTCCATACATGCTCTATGCTGTCCTAAATCACCCTGATTTGAGATTTGCATAAGGGAATTTCTGAATCGGACAGGTTTAAGACTGTGTAAACACTTTATGCTAGTAGAGCATTAATACAAGGCCTCTTGTATTGGGTGTCTGTGCCTAGGTTTGGCACCAGGGAGGCTGCAGAGGTGGCCTTTCTGAGTAGTGGCCAGGAGCTGCCCTGTACCTGTGCACAGCTGGTGGCACCTCTGAGAAAACATATTTAAGAAAGGGCAGAAAATGCCAGACAGAGAGAAAAGAAGGGGGGGGGGGGGAAAGTAAGAAACAGCAGAGAGAACCCCAAGGTCAGAGCAGGAGGTGCTCCATGGTGGAGGAGATATTCCCTGCAGCCTGTGGAGGACACACACTGGAGAGGAAGAACGGTGTGAGAAGAAAGGAATGGTGGAGAGAAACCACTATGTCCTGATCATTACCCCTCAACACCCCTTTTGCACCGCTTGCTTCCTCTCTGAAGGAACTTGGACGGAGTGTAACCTGCAGTGATAACAAGGGAGGAGCAGAGAAGTCTGGGAGGAGGTCAAGTTGATCCTAGGAAAGCGGGTAGGAAAGCTGTTCTTTTATTAATTGGCAATAAATTAATTAAATTTTTCCCCAGTTGACTCTGCCTACCATAGTAATCAGTAAACAGTCTCCCTATCTTTACCTTAACTGATGAGCTTTCTCATTCCTGTTCTTCCCATTTTGTCTCCTGTCCTGCTGGGGAGAGGAGTGAGGAAGCAGCTAGTTGGGAGTTTGGCTGCTGGCCTAGGCTAAGCCACCACACCTCTCAACTAGAAACCTCCAAAATAAAGTCCACAAGCAAGAAAATAAAACTGGCCCGCAGCATTTTGTTGTTTTCATTTAAATGGGTGGCTAAAAACTTTTCAGACACACAGAGAAATACATTGCAGAGAAAGGATATAGTCACATATTTGTTACAGGATATAGTCAAAACACTGCGATTCTCCCCTCCCCAAAAGGATTTGATTAGAGAATCACTCTAGAAGCTCTCTGAGAAACTGTAAAGCATCTGAGAAGGCACAGAATGTATTAACCCCCGTTGCTGTACAGAAAGGAGCTTTGTACATGAGGGAGTTGGAGAAGTGCCAGGGTACAAGTACTCAAATATCAGTGCATGCTGAAAGAAGCTGAGCCTGTGAGCTTTATCTCAACAGAAAGAGAAAAGGCTTCTGACCATTATTAATACAAGCGTGCACAGCAGTGATAAATCACTAAGCTGAAAACTGACACGTTCTGAAAAATATAGAAAGGAGATTCGACTTGAAATTGGTTGTGCAGAAGAACTAGAGAAGGCTCCTGGAAATCGAATATAAAGTGAACATTTGATGGATGAGTGCTAGACATTAAATCTGAACTAATTTAGCACAATGACATTACCTGGATATACACTGGAGGTTTGTTCGAGATAAGAGCATAGTACTTCGAGCAGGAAAGAAAGGAAGAAATCTTTTCAAACCACTTGAATGGGCAGGACACAATAGAGGGAAAATTTTATCTAGGTTACTGAAACTGCTGGAAAAATTACTAGCAAGCCACACAAGCCACTCACAGAGTTCCACAAAGACAGAGAGAAATCCAAATCCAATCTAATTTAAGGACAGAAGAAAAAGGTAGATTTGGGAGCTGAGGAGAAGACAACCACACCTCCAAGCACTAGCTAGAGCCTCAGAGAGTTGGTAATCAAATAGTGGGCAGCACTGCAGAATCAGTCCTCCAAACCACAGATGAAAATAAGAGTGAGGAACTTTGAAAACATCTGGAATAATTAATGTAGACATCCATCTTGTATTTCTTAGTGAAAAGCTGGTTTCTACAAGTAGAAGGGTTTTGGTGAAATCTTTGTCCCACTGAAATTGAAATTTCTGGGGTTTATTATGTGACTCTAAAGAAGGTATATTAGCTAAGTATTTATAAACAACAAATTTCTATGGTTATGTGCCTTTTGTGCCTTTCAGAAAAATCAGGACACATGAGTTACCATAAGGCACAACATGGACCTTCCATTATTGACAGAGCCCACATGCTTTTTCATACACACTAAGTTTATTGCTGTGCTTTAGCATTTTTGTCCCAAAACATTGGTTTTGGATTTTCTGGCCCTCTAAATGCCAAATCTGTCCCAATATTCACATTGGAGAATTTTGCCAGACAGTTCTCCATATACAGGAAAATGAATGATGACCTTTGCCTTTCTAAGGCTTGGAGAAACACTCTGGTTTCTTCTTATACAAACATCCTTCTGTAACAAGTGGGGAAGATGCTCACAGAAGGCACCTCCTTACATCAAAACTTAACTCTAATACTTGCAGAAATGGTGAAAAAGATTTTTGCTAATCTTTCAGTCAAGACAAGAGCAGAAGCCACAACTACCAACAATACCAGTCTGGACAATGGCTGTATTCAATTTGTTTTGTGGGCAAAGATTGCTCTTGTTTTCAGATAACATACTGTACTACCTAATAATTTATTTTGTACTGTTAAATCCTAAGGGCTTACCAACTTGATCAAGGATATAACACAGCCACAGAATGTATCGGGGTTGCTATTAAATCCATCAAATTTAGCCATATACTAAATTGTTATGAAACCAATTAACTGCTGGCCTGAATTCATTTGGTCATACTCAAATCATTTCCTGTCAAACATCTGCAGAGGATCAAGTTATTCTTCACGGTTTTGCCATAAAATTTTGCTCTTATTTCTTTAATCCATTTCTTTCACAGACTCTTCCTTTTTTTTTTTTTTTAAAAAAAATCCAATTTCAATTTGAGGTGGAACGATCTTTATATGTCAAACTAGGAAAGTTTTGATACCATTATTCTTTGTGTATCAGTTCTGAATTCACTTCTATCCCAGCTACACATTTTTTGCTGATGCTGTTATTTCTGCACAACGGTTTTGCTTGGACTCTCACCCTACTCCCACTGAAGTCATTCAGTTGGAATCTCCATCATTTTGAATAATCATTATACTGCAGAATTGGAAGAAATATGCAATAGCTAGACAGTAGGAAAAAAGTCTATTACTTTATATTAAAATATAGCTGGGTTGGGAATAGGACTAAACAAAATCAGGAATTCATAAAAATCAGCATAACAGTTTTTTTCTTTTTGGTCAGTTTTGCTGATCAAGAAGTTTGTAAGTTTTACCTTTTTTTCAAATAAAGACTCCAGTTTTCTAGTAAAACCTGCTACAGTAAGTGTAAGGCAATAGCTTTTCACAAGTGTCGGATGGAAGCGTATTTTGCCCTGATACAAACTGCCCCAATACAACTGAAGAAGTCTAGATGAGTAAAAGGTTGTGTGGGGAGGAGAAAGACAATTGAGCTGAAGACTTCACAAGTAAGCAAGAATCCTAAAAAAGGGAGAGACTGCAGATTCAATCTCCTCTCGCCAACCGTATTTTTGCCCCTACTCCATGAAAAAGCATAAATCCTCTCCCACAGTCTGGCAGACACTTTCTTCTGTCTGCATTTAATCAACATTTTCCTATTACAGGCCCAGTTTTCCCTCCTTCAACTTTTATCACTTGTCCTTCATTGAGAAAACAAGTCACATTTTCCTCCTTTAGTTCTCTCATTTCTTCCAACTCAGTCTTCCTCTAGACATGAACGAAAGATCACCTATCTGCTACTCCATCATGCACTAGCAGGTATAACTTGCTTCTTTCAGTGTTGTAAATACTAGCTAACATTTTCCCCAGTGCACCCAACGCGATGAATTCAGGGGTATTTCGGCTTGAGAAATCCTGTATGGAAACAAACTTGTATAGTGTTAATAAATACAACATGACACAAATATGTATGGTAAGAAAAACCCACTGAAGTGAGAAAAATTTGCATGGGCTTCAAGGAGCTTTGTGTGAGGTCTTTGATACTTGCATTAGTAGGAGACAGAGCTAAAATGGATGGGAGATATGGGATCCTTGAAACTGTCCAATTTATTCACATTGAGACTATTTAAGGTCATATCAAGCTATTCTCGTCTGTGCTTGTTCTGTACATCATAAATAACCACTGAAGGGAATAATTACTGTTGGGGTTACTTCATAAAGAAGATGCTATTTGAATTCTAGAATAACAGGAAATAGAGTTATATATTAAGCTTGAAATAGATTTTACTGTCCATATTAGACGAGCTTCTCATGACAAGCAATATCACATTTCACCAGAAGATTGGCTCCTTACAACTGGACAAAATGAACTCCTTTTTCTCCCCTCAAAATATTTCAAATGTTTTCATATATATGACCTACATTAGGACAGAGTTATCTAGTTATTATATGCCTAATTAGAGAATAATACTAATCTGACCTTAGGTGAGAATTAATTCTGCACATCTGTCTTGCAGCCAAGATGATAGGAAATTATTATTATTATGTATACACACACACACGCAATTCTTTCACTACTCAGAGTGCACCCATTGGGGAAGTACAGGCAACATGTTTTTTCAATGCAGGTTCAGAGACTGCTTTTATGCTATTTGTGGTGGTATTTAGTACTTACTGTAAAAGCGGTAAAGCAAAACTTAGAACTAAAAGCAATACCTCTGTTGCAGCAACTCTCCAATATTCTGAAAATACTGGGTTTTTCCTTTCTGTTTAACTTAACCCTGGGAACTAGATTTAAAGTACTGACTTAAAGAAAATCTATACAATGGCCAAGTTAAATAGAAAAGTTGATTAGTTTCAGAGTATCACACAAGTTGTATGTGTTATGATCTGACCTTCTGGAGCTGGTTTACTCGCATTTGTTTTTTCTGGATCTTTCACCTTGGATTTACTTGTTTCTTTTCTTCTCTCTATATCTTTAACTGAAAAGTAAAGGGGGAAAAATAATCAATCAAACTAGAAACGGTGCAGTCAGAAACATATAATTTTCTTCTTCCACATAAAGAAGTTGCATGCAATGTCTTGTGATATGCTTAGGTAACAAGTGATTGTTATTGGGTTTTCCCTCCCTCCCTTTGGGTTTATTCTTTTGATGAATCTTTCCCCATCCTATCATCATTAAAGTTCTCAGAGTGACTCTCCTCACACAGGACAGTCCAAAACAGTGACATAAGCACCTAAGCCCACGCTGACAAGATCCAGCACTGGAAATATAGTCCAGAAAATTGGCAAAGCTAGCTGGGTAAAGTCCAGCACTGCAGAGCTCCACTCCAAGTCATTCAACACAAAAGCACATAAGCCAGCTGTTACATTATCCCCTTTAAAGAATCAGCTTAGATCCCATGCCCAAATTTGTGTTCAGGGCACCAAATACTCCCATGAGAGCAAAGTTGCTCCAAAGCTCAAACTTCAACAGTTTCCTGTCTCACAAGTGGGTGGGATACCTCCCTTATTATGTCCCAAATCTCTCATAACAGCCAAGCAGAACCCAGCTTGATCAGCAATTCCTAATATTACATTAGTAGCCAGTATCACTCTACTCATAGTCTGAAAGGTTCCAGCAAAATCACTGCTAGTGTCACATATTAGAAAAAAAAACAAAAAAACAAAACACCAAAACAAAAAAACAACCCCAAAACACATCACCTTTCAGAATTTCCTTAGAATATTAATTGGTGTCAACACCTCAGCTTTCTACAATGGTCAGGAACAGCTTAAAAGAATGACACAGAGAATATCTTTCATAGAAAATAAAATTCTACTCTAATTAAAATCTTTAGCTTATGTGGAGCTGGATCATGACTGAAATTCATCCAAGCAGGCACTAAGTCTTAGCCAAGTTCAGAGTCTCTCTGTGCTACATCACTCAAAAAACAGTGAGAGGGTGAAAGAAGGTTATCTGTCTCTTCAAACATGATATAAAATAGAAAATACAAGTATTCTGTTTTACAGAAGTGGACCAAAGTCAAATGGATTTTGCTAATTTACCCAACAGTATATGGAATATCTGAAACAGCCAAGAGCGCTCAAAGTTCCAATCCAAAACATAATCACAAGACCATCCTAAGGTCTTAGGAAGATAACAAGCCATTGTCAAACATATGAGCGTGACCTTCTCAGCGTGATAACCCTCTACAGAACCTACAAGCCCTCACAGTCCAGGTGAAAATAACTGAAGTTTTGACTCCTCTCCTTATTAACACAGCGTATGTACCCATACATCACCTCTACGTTTAGTGAACAGTTGTGAAACTGATTCAGAAGCAAATTCAGGTCCACAAGCTTGATAAGGAGTCAGCTTTTACCAAGGTAGATCGTGGTTATTAGCTGGGTTACAGTTAAAGCCACCATAACGCCAGGTCTTACTCAGAAGTCTGGCTTTAATCCTTACCTAAAGTCTCCAACTAAAATAAAAGAGGTGAAATTACCAGAATAATACTAGTCAAAGAGGATGCCATTGCTTAGCCTTCTAAGAGCATTCCTTTGAGAAAAGTCTAAGAGCAAGCTAAGGAGCTGCTTGATGGCCTCCTCTAATGGTAGTGCTATTCAGAGCAAGTCTCCAGAGAAACAGTACAAAAGTCTGTAAATGCTCACAGGAGACAAGTTGGTCATATCATGACAAAGATTTCTGGATTTGAAAAAGCCATTTCTAACTGTCAAAATTCTAACCACTTAGGAAGAACAGACAAGATGACACCAGTTTTACTCACAAATTTACACAGATAAAAGACTTCTCTAGTGCATGTTTTTACAGCTGCATTTTAAAAGGAAAAAATTCCCTAGTGATCTTTGTTAATCACATACTATGTACAACAACTTACAAGCAGCACTAGAATAAGAAAGTATATCTGGCTATATAAAGAGGAATACTCTTTAACAGTAACATTTTATTGTAGGCTTGAGATTTCTTTGCACATCAGCTACAACTCAGCAGCATTAAAAACATACTTCCAATGCACTAAACCAGAGGATAGTCTCAGGCTTTGTATATGTTTGTCCTTTTTTCATCTCAAGAATTACTGACCACTTGTCAGAGAAGGAGAAAAAACCATACAGGATATATGATATATGAATACAGGATAGCAAAATTAAAAAAAAGAAGGATTTGTATACATGCTGTATCTGGTTTTACTCATGCAAGGTATCATATTGTACTTAATGAGGCTGGAGTTTCATGTGACTACATGTTTTCACCTGCAGCAAAGAAAGAGTATACTAAATGGAATATAACCCCCAAAAATCAAGTTGCTGGCTCTGCTTTTCCTGAAGAATAGAGGTAGTTTGAAAACTAGCCACACCTAATAATATAGCAGTTAGTGCAGCTTCCTGTGGGCTGCTCTTTAATGCTAAAGTAATCTGTGGTTTTGTGGGTTTCCTAACCGGGATAGAACTTAAAGTAGTAAATACACAGTTGCAGCGATGAAAAGGTAGAAAGACTTTGACACACACCACATCAAGCAGTCAGCATATTTTATCTTGTGCTGGTTCTAAGAGAAAGGTGGTTTAGCAATGACGGTGAGAAATATTCAGTGTCAAAGGAATTCAGTAGGCTTTCAACTGTACTTCCAGACTGTCACATTTCTGTCTTTATCAACCAAATCTTCACTGATCATATTTAACTGAACTGTTTAAGATGCAGATCAGGACAAATCAGCTATGACATATATATCACTATGACATAGACATTAAAAGGCTGTATAGGTCAGATAAAAAGGTCTTAAGCATAATTTGTAAATATATTTGACAGCTGAAGACCAGTAAGAATTTAGCCTTTCATAGTATCATTGAACTAGCAACTAGTTGCTAGTTGGCACGGCTATAAGAATGTTTTAATAAAAAGTCAGACAAAGGGAAGGAAATGTTTAAATATCAGAATATAGCACTTCCTCTCTTGTTTCTGTTCATTGAAGATTCTCTTCCACAAGATACCAGCTAATTTCATAATGGCATGGTGAAGAAAGGGATTCTAAACCAATGGAAACAAAGAGCTCAAAGCAACAATCTCCTGTGCAAGAGCCACTGGCTCAATTCAGGCCTCCAGCTGTATATGTATCAGATAAAATCCGTGGCTCTGATTAGCCTTTCACCATAGAAGAAACTGTTTTTCCATTGTCCCCCCTTGTGTCAGACTTTGTTGCAATTTTGTAAGTTACATTAAACATCAGATAAATTCTGCATGTCGGGCATAAAAAGACACATACTTCTGAACTGGCCTTGTGCTGGCTTACTCTCCTTGTCTTCACTGAATGCAATGATCTGAAGGGCATAGTTCTGATCTGGAATAAGACCTTGAATAATTGCTTTGGTTGCAGTGTTTTGAAGAATTAATTGATTGGTTTTTCCACCTATAAGAGAAAAGACAAAATAACCCACAAATACATAATTTTGTTTGCTTTTCTTATAGCACAGTAAATGTTATGACTTAAAACTACCTCAGTGACCCAAGCGTTCCCACTTTTAGAATTATCCATCCAGCCAGGCCAGAGGGCATCCCAGAAAAGCAAGAAGTCAGGCAGCCTGACCAAAGACACAGATTAGTTTTCTTGGATAGAAACACTCTACAACAGATCAGTCAATCAGCCTTTGTATCTGGGCCTCATGGAATAGCCACGGTGCCCAGCAAAACTATTAATTCAGAAAGAAGCATCTGACAAAAAGCTGTCAAGTTTGGTAATATCATACCCACAGGCTTTCACACTGCTCTGTGACTGGCTGCCAGTTCTGATCCCATCAAACCCACATCATCTCTGAACACCCTCTTTGCCCACTTCCTTTGGGTAAGGAAATTCTCATGTATAAATACAAATATTAAACAGTTCTATATATACGTACACATACATCTAAAGATTGTATACAAATATGCATTTTAGCTGTATGTTAAAAGTGTATCTCTATATAAATTTAAATATGTACAGAAGTAGTACCTCTACACAGGTAGCCTGATAGAGCCACATTGTTGGCTATCTTCACATTTCAAGCTTTCATTCAAAAAGATTTTTAAAAGTGGTTTGTTTGGGATTTTTTGAAGTTTAGCCTAAAATCTTTTTAGTTTTTGCTGGGGAGCTCACTATGGGAGAAGGCCCAGGGCGATCCACCTCCAATCTTTGACTGAAATGGGCTCTCCCTTGAACACTTCCTAGGCTTCCCTACATCCCACTAAAAGAAAGGTAAAAGCAGATGATCAGCGACAATTCCCAATGACTACATATGAAGCATAACTAGCATCCACGTGTTTCTACCTTAAGCATTTGATTCCCATATTCTATGCCTATGAACACCCTCTATTGACCAACATTTGTTGTGGATAACTCAGTTATCCACAGCTTGCTCACAGGTCCTTAGTCCTGAAGGACAACACTAGCCTCTGAGAAGCTGTTCAGCCTTAGGAAGGCAGACCTTTCACCTTGAAAGAGAAAATACAGAGTTTTGTTTTACCTGAACTTGGAGTGACAAGAAGCTTATATCCAGTGATTTGCCCCTTGGGGGCTTTCCAAGAAATCTGTACACTGTCAGGACTGACTACATTATATCTTAGTCTTGTTGGTGGGGACACTGTAAGTCGGGAAAGAAAACAACATTTTAAATTCAAATAAAAAGCAAGCACCGATTTTGAACAAACACAAAAATAAACACATATAGGAAGACGACACAAAATTTTACTGATAAAGGATGCAAGTTATTCAAAATGTCACATACATCAGTTTATTAGTTTGTAAAATGACATCCCCAGGTGCACTACTTCCCTCAGACATACCTTTTATTTAACTCTTTATAAAAACAAACTAACAACCTAACAGCAGAGGACAGAAGGACAAACAGTGTTAGATGTTAAGACTCTAGTTTAGCAGGCAAAGCTGGTAATAAAAATGCTCTTTGTTAATATATGGGAATTAAAATTGCTCTCCTTGCTTACACTGACAATATGCATTACCTAGCCTCCTTCACGTTACCGTGGGTGTTTCCCCACATTTAAGATCATTCAGGGCCAAATTTTCAAAGCCTTGTGAAGACACAATAACCAAGAGGAAAGATAGGCATGCACAAGGCAAAGGGAACATCAGCTGCCCAATTTGCAAACCTGGCCTAGGCAGCACACAGACTTGCCCAGCTGCAAGCGCTGCTTCAGTCTCATCAAGACTACCAGGCATGCACAAGCCAGTCAAGATTTAGACGGGGGCAATCTGGCTGGTAAGCAAATCTGGCTTCTAGTTCTGTTGTGCCATCACCTAGGTTTCAAATAGGAGCAGCAGGTGAAATGAATAAAAGCATGACATGATTGAGAAAGAGGTGATACTTCAGTGAAGCAACACACAGAGGAACAAATGGAAAATCCACTCTACGTTGTTACTGCAGTATTAACAACTTGGTGTCTATACACATGAACTAGTTTTTCACAGCTTTGCATCCCTCTGCTCAGGCAAGCTCCACTGATGCTGGACAACACCCTGAATAGCATTTCTGCTCTGCTTCAGGAAGCCACATCCCTCCTTTAGAGCAAACAGCTGAAGCAGAGCTGCTAGTTGTGCAGCCTGTGGTACCCCAGGCTGTCAATAAGGGGAGACCTTCATACATTTGAATAGGGTTTGGCTCCTAGAACTAACTCATCTAAAGGGAACAGCAGCCAGGGAAGCTACCCAGAGGCTGAACAACAGAAAGGGCTAGGAAAACTTAAACTCTTCCACCAGCCTTACCCTTCCTCTTCTCACTACCCCCACAGCTCCCTGAACTTTCTTTTTATTATCCAAACCCTTGCTGTCTCTGCCACTACTACCCTTAAGGTTTCTGATAGTAAGTGTAAGAAATAAGGGAAATTATCTGAAGGGGGTTAGTGGCAATTTCTTTTCCCCAGGGTCCAAGATAGCTCTTAATTGACTAGGCTCATGCCCACAGTTTGTTGGTCCACTAGATACAACAAACCAACCATTTTCATGATATTTCTGAGATTTCAGTATTACAGCATACGGAGCATCTGAGTCAACAGGCAGAACGTGCTAGCCAACAGTCTCTGGCCTCTCCATTTGACCTGCTACAGTGAATGCAGCTCTGGCACCAGCAGCAGCCAAAGACCTGTCCTGAACTGATTACTTTTTCCTACGTGCTTCTTTTTCCAACAGCTTGGGGGAAAAAAGAAGGAGGAAAGAAGCAGGCTGTAGTTTTTTTGAGATTTGGGGTAGTATTTTTGTCACGTCATCTATCATTAAAAACATTTTAGGTCTTAGAAGTAGAAATCTGGAGGTTTAATACAAGAGATACATTCCCTTGCATCCAGCCTCTCAATCCATAAGGGGCAGTTTTGCCAGACCAAAGGCAAGTTCTGCAGTTCTCTGCCTTGATGGACTTAACACCAGAAGACAAAAAAGAGAGTCCATAAGCACCAAGAACAGCTTAGTAACACCTCCACATTCTCCAAGACTTCAGAGAACAAGCTCAAGAAGAGAGGCAAGGGGACAGAAACAGCAGGGAGCACACCAATTCTGCACACTCAAAAGCGTTCAGATTCGCAGCACTGGTCTTACACCCAAACAGTGCACTTCCCCAGCTGCTAGGCACAATCTTGTCAGACCTCGTCTTCAGACTGCCTGTCACCTCCCTCAAGTTTAGAGAAAGAGAAGCTGCAAGCAAGAGTGCATGAAGGCATCACTGCAAATACAAAATCAGTTCTTTGAAAATTTGGCCCTCATATTGCAAAATGTTTTGCTGGGCAGGTTTCTGCAAGAACATTCAGCATGCTATAATTGTAATAAAATGACAGAGACTATGGCAAAAAGTTTTGAAAGCCAAGCAGACTGTATTTATGGATTACAGCTTTTAATTCATTCTCAAGACTCATTCTGTCTTTGAGCTATACATAAATCACAATGAATTGGGGCTGAACGAACCAAGAGTGACAAATCATACCTAGAAGTTTGCAAAATAGCAATCCCTTTTATTATTTATTTCATCAAAGGAATAGCAAATAAACTTTTGAACAATGACAGTATGCAAGTGTAAAAATGATGCATTTGATTAGGATTAAGTGGTAAATTTGTATGGTCATTAAGAGGCTAAGCAGAGAGCAACAAAGTAACACCAAGGACTAACAAAAAAATCTTGTCTTAGATTTTCAGAGTTCATTTTCTCTGCCATCTTCTTCCTTCCATTCCATCCTATTTTCAACTTAACAGTTTATGAAAGCACCATCTAACAAAGAAGCATAGTTCTGGCCTAATTGCTATTAGCCATCACCAAACCAGGTAAATTTTGGGAGCCCCTAAAAAACAATCACAGATTTTACAAGCAAAGAAGGACACAATCACCAAAAGTTTTTCTGTTTTCTACAGAGTTACAATGTGAAAGACTAGAAAAGTTGTGCCAGAATAGTCTTTACATAACTGGTCAATGTCACTGGGTACTTTTTGTATCAAAGGTGGCAGCGCAGGGGAACGGACATTCCCATGCAGCAATTAGCCATAAGGAAGAAAAGAATTATTTACCAGACAGATACTCAACTGTTTCTTAGTTGTGCAAAGACTAATGTTCTGGCATAGAAAAGTACATATAGCTAAGGAAGTTAAAAATCTAACACTTGAACAGACAACAAAATATTGATGGGAATTACTACACATTCACCAACCTGAAGAGGATATCTTTATTTCTTTGGACCTTTATTGTCTGTGGAACAAAATCTCACTTCTTGCAGAAAGGGAAAAAAATTAATCCAAGCTGAGTCAGTTAACTGATAAAAATCAGTAGCTAGAGCTTGTTAAGTGGTTTTACAGGAATGCACAAGTGAATGGCCGTCAGCAACATTAGAGCAGTCACCCAAAAGAAAACTACAGACAGGTTCAAGGCTTTGGTTTATGCCACCAGATAAATTAGCACTCCAAATACATGAGTCTTATTGACAACTAGGGAAATATTGTTTTGAACTATTCATGGTCTTAATAGAAAGGAAAAATACCATAAATTGCACATGTGTAGCTCTCCAAGACATCCAGTACTCTAAGACTGGATAGTAACTAAACTTTGTGGCTTCAAATTTACTTTTGTCATAAGAATTGAACAAGTTAATATGCACTGCAATTACATTAGTAACATATGGAAATTATTGCTACACAAAGAAAAGTTTCCATCTTTAAATACAGAAGGAAAATTCTTAAAGCAAGATACTTGATGAATAAATGGAAAATTCTAAAGTATTTTTCTTGCCCAACACTATTTTTGTGTACCATATAAGAATATAAATAGAACATAAGAACAAAAGCTGGATTTTTTTTTTTTTTTGGTTACTGTTCTTTAAGTGACATTATGCTGAATAAGGAAGAAACAGCAGCGATGAAAGAATAATTGTTGTTGAGTAAAAACTGAATGGCACTTTGTGGTTTATAAGGTGTTCAGGCAATAAATGAGAGAAAACCATGTAGCTCAACGCAGATAACTCCTTGGTTGGAGGAGTAAGTTGTAGCTTCAGGCATGTTGACTTCAGTCTCCCAAACATTCTCCTTTCCAAGAAGTCACATTACACACCTTTACCTGAGCATCTTTGCCAAAGGAAGGAAACACAAGCTGGAACTAACATCTGCTCTTCCTACATGTTGGCAGAGTGTACAGTTTCTTAAAACGGACAAACATACTGTTAGTGCTAAATTAAACTGCAAATAGCCTGCTGCATGAAGAGTTTACTGCAAGGGGTGGCAACCTTGAGAAAAGAAAGGATTTGAGACACATTTTATTACTTTAAGGGTAGCAAGAGGTATTTTTATTCTGCGAACATGGAATAGAGACTTCGTATCACCTCATTCAATAACATAATAGTCATTTTGGGCCAAGGCAATAGTCCACTTAGCTTCGTATCACACTGCTGACAGCATTCAGCAGCTGATGCTTGCTGAAAGAGCGTAAGAACAAGGGAAGTATTGTTCCTTATTCATCAAGTACATCGACTCTAGCTTCTGCTAGTGTGATGATTGTGGAAAAAACTCTCTCTGACCTTCATTTCATTGTACTAATAGTTTCAGAGTTTTCTCCCTTACATACGCCCAAATAAATCAAAGTTAAAAAACACAAAATGAAAAAAAAAAAAAAGGAAAAGGAAAAGGCGGGGAAGAGTATGGTTTCCAAGCTCAAGGAATTTTGCAAAACTTTCTGGAGATGGATCTCAATCCCTAACCCTGTTTTGCAAATCTTAACCATATGTATTAGGACTGAAATACATAGAGAAAGGACTAACCATATGCTTTGCTTTATTGGCTCATTAAGTCACAAACATTCTGGACCTCATTTCTGACCAGAATTGATGTGTTGAACATTGGGAACATGTATTTCTTCATTCACCTCACATCGCCCACATTAAATATTACTGCTTACATGTGTCCCTAAGTTCTGGAAGAGGCTTGTAAAACACTCACAGATTCGCAAACATCCAAGACAGTATGCTTCCCGAGCACTTGAGTGCCACGCAGACTGGACAGCGCTGCTACTTGCATTTACCAGAACTTGGAAAGCCTCAGGTTGCCACTAGGCTCTGAATGTGCTCATGAATAATGCATTATACAAGATGCTTTAGAAGAGCCCCAGGATCAAATTCTGCTCCCAGTTATGCCTATGCAGTCTCATATCAAAGGGATTACATAAATATACAAGTTGAGAGAAACATCTTTCTTAAAATGTCATAAAAACTTGTTGGCATTCTTCATTCTTCCTCCCTTCTTCCCCAAGCGATAGGATTTCTCTAGAAGTCAAACCACTGTCAATACAATCCAACAAGAACTTAAGCCTAACAATCTCAGCAGTGTCTTAATACCCACAAAGGAGATTTAAAAAAAAAGCTGGAGAAGTAGTCTGTGACATTTAACAGTCCTGTGCAATACTGTATGATGTAAGTGTTACAATAGCTACTGTTCCAACAAAGAAAAATATATATTCCATACAAGCTTAGTACCATAGCTGGTCCTTCAAGCTTACTTGATTATGTAGAGGACAGTCACAGCAATTTCCAATCAGTACTTTCATATAAATAAGAGTAAAAAAAAATAAATTGTTCCCTATAACTCATTTTGAGACACCTGAATTTGCAAAAAGATTCATACCATTTGAGATACTAGGTTCAAAGAGCACACATGAACACATAGTTCTACTCCACCCCTGAGATCAGTAGCAAAACTCCTGCTTCATTTCAGGAGTGCTGGATCCACATCCTATTAAGAGGGAAGTAACACTTGCATTTGGAATAAGAAAGTCTACTTCTGCACATCAAAGTGAAAAGCTCCATCATCTTATTTATGACTTACCTTGGCCCTGGGCATCACTGATGAAGAAAGCTGTGACAGCTAAAAAAGCCAAGAAGAAACAGCTCTGTATCTCATACCGACAAAGCATCTTCTCAATACACACAGTATCAGCAGGTCTGAAAACACATGAAACAAAAAGACTTATTAAACCTGCAAAGATAAGGCATCCACATTAATGAAAAGTGTGGGCAAAATCTGGATTCCATTAAAAAAATAAAATAATATTTACTCTAACTTAATCAGCTAGAAACATCAACACTTCAGAGTGCAGCACTATATGAACACTCAAGGTAGTCCTAGGTGAACTAGTTGGGTTACAGGAAGCAATTCTGGTGCCAATGAACAAGTTCCTGAAGGGGCAATTTATCTGTCCACAGAAGCTGTTAACAGCAGTACAAGTGTCATTATCTGAACTTGGCCTTTAACGCCTTCCAGTACAGTTAGTCAACATATATAGAAGCACCCCTCAAGATACAATGTTCATAACATTGTGCTTATAAATGTTTATCTATCACCCAACTTTACTGCACTAGTTTTAGTCGATTTTTCTGGGCCAGGAAGAATTTTTGCTGCCCTCTCCTGTTAGTATTTTACCAGATAATTAAATTAAGATAATTAATAGTAGATTTCTTGCTGTCGACAAAGAGTCAGCACTTGAAGGTTTACTTTGGTAAATTTTGGTTTAGGTATTTCTGTGTTGCAAGTCCCTCCCATTTACCTCCTGTAACATTTTCTCTAATATCCCCAAATACCATCATTGAATTTGCCTTCCATGTTCTCATTGTCTTCTGAGGAAGGCACAAAGCAAGTGGTTCAACCACTATCTAATATAAAAGGCAGACTGAAGTACCTCAACCATTATTAAACAGATAAGAGGATAAGACCTACATCTCCTTCTCTCCAAGCATTTACAATTTACCATAGTTATCCCAGGATTTGGTAGGTCTACTGTTGCAAATCCTAGTCATGAATGCTTGATATGCCACCTAGAAACAA